GTGAGCCTTGCTTTAATTCAGCCAGGTCCACTTCACATTCTTCGAGGTCTGAAAAATCATTGCAGGCTTCTTGTTCGTCGACACCGGTTTCGACATATGTAACTCTTTCTTTTCTATGGCTTTTGTTTGCTCTAGGTTTTTTGACCTTTAAGCGCTCCACTTGTCGAACCATGTCTACCAATTGGGCCATATCTCTTAAGTAGTGAGGATCCAGCTTCTTTCTAATGGAGAAATCTAATCCTCTTACAACCATCTCAACTAACTCGTGTTCAGGAACTTGAGTAAAGCATCTTACCTTTAACAGGAGGAATCTATTGAGGTAATCATCAATTGGTTCGCTAAACTTGCACTTGATGTTGGCAAATTCACTTAAGCTTATCTTGAATTGACCTACATAAAATTGTTCATGAAACAACCTTTTTAAACGAGTCAAATCTTGGATATAATTCGCTGTAAGGGTAGTGAACAATGTGAAATCATTTTTGGTTAGTGAATTAGGAAAATATTTTATCCTTAAGTTTTCATTATTCGTTATATCCCCAGCCTCGGTAAGGTACTTGGCTATATGTTCGACAACTGATTCGCTGGTGTCACCAAAGAATTATGAACTTTGGGACTTTTCAAACCCTAGGCAATTCAATTTGCAAAATATATTCAGATAAATGAGAAGTGTAATTCAGCCTACGAAGGCCAATATTTACACCATTTCGTGCCATAATTCATTCGACCATAACATCCAAGTTATTATTTCCTACCATGTCATCCCATCGAAGTCCTTGGACTACTTCATCAATGTCCTGGTTTTGATTCACCATCATAATCCTTCGTGGTTCCTCCCTAGGGATTGCATGTTGAACTCTGGGTTGTTCGACCCGAACCCCCTGGTTATTTTCGACAGCTCTTTGTAGGATTGGTTGGTCCTGGTTAATTGTTGGTTCTTCCTGGAACACCATTCCCTGATTTTCCTTTATCCATTAATGCTGGGGTTGTCGATTTGGTTCTCTTGGAGCCCCAAAGAAGTCTGCTATTCGTCCCATCTGCGCCGCTATTTGCCAGTTCTCTAGGAATTTTGTAAGTTTGTCTAGGTGGCATTTTGGATTAATGGGTTAATGATTGCACTCATTTGTTAGGCAGGAACCCTAACCATTTCATGATTTCTATCATCCATCTATTGTCTCCATACTGCCTGCGAATTGGTTGTGAGGGGAGGCAACTGAGAAACGTATTCTGGTGGTTAGGTATTTCGACCCATATTGTTTACGGTAGACCCTGATCCTTGTAAAGGTGAAAACATGGATGTTAATGGGTTTGTATATGTGGATGTATTATTATGCAACCCTGCCATAAAATATTTTGGCATGCCATAGATTGGATCTGTTGTTGGGATCGAAAATCCTGGCACATAAGTTCTAGACACGTTAACTCCTATGGGTCTTGGGGTCAAAGGATGGCCCTAATTGGCTACAGATGTTATAGTTGGTATACTTTGTGTATTTGATGGTATGTTCATCGAATTTGTTGTCGAAGGTATAGCCATTGTTCCTTGGTTCAAAGGTATGGCTTCAGTTATATTGGAAACGGTTGTGCCTCTCCCTGTCGAAGGGGGAACTTGTTTTATACTGTTATTGGGTGGGTTAACCATTCTCCTATTGTACTTACTTTTTGGTATAGTTTCGTTAGTATTATCTAATTTCCACTCCTCAATCTCATGCAACAATGTTAATAAACAAGTTATCAAAATAAAAGATAAAAATGAAAGAAATTCTAACAAGAACTATACATTGGTCCCACCAGGTGTGTCAATTTGTTTACCGTGAAATTTGGGTAAACAACCCCTGGTGTTCCCAATCAAAGATAATATTGGTGACTTGCAGGATCGACCAGATTGATCCTAAGGACATGTGCTTAGTTCAATTTCGTACCTTTTTGTTTATCAATCTCTTCGATAGAGATTGTTACTTCGAAGGTAGTAATGTAATGCTTTAAAGAAAAAACTTATATGTAAAAGACTTTTGATTTAAACTTCAAAGGAATATATAAAACTTCAATTGAAAATGAATGGAAATAAACATAAAACTGGTGCATCATACGTACATTCTCACAACTCGTTTCTTGAACACTGGTACTTTGAGGAATTTAGAGTAATTTGTACAAAGATGTGAACACCCAAAAAACTAACACTAAGGTTATATTTTATACTAATTCGACCCTAACGGTCAACTAATGAAACAACGCCACATTCGTTGCTGCATGTTCTTTGAATCTCTTCAGGCCTCCACGTGTCTCTTTAGATAAGATTAAACTTTCAAATTTGAAAAACCTTTTGTCTTCGAAGCGCCAAAACAGTATAGACGCGACGATTGAAGTGTCTTTATCTGATAATACTTCAAATAAATTAAGGTCCAACGGTTCACAAATGAACCTTTCGCCGATACTTAGCGAAATGAAATTCTTACTAGCCTTTATTTATCGAAATCTTCATAAGATCTCCTTCATGCTTCCTTCCAAACTAAATTTCTTCCAGGAATGTATCATTTCAGCTCAACATTCATATAGTCGAAATTTCCAGTTAACGCACCCTTACATTTAATCTATTGGATTTGGACTCATGATAATGTTTTTCAGCCTTTTTTTAGTTTGATACAAGTCAAAATATCGAGTGTACCTTGAATCACACGTTAGAATACTTAGAAGAAGGTTTTTATGAACCTTCATTTGAATTACACATATTATGATTCGACAATTTATTGCTTGGAAGTTAAGAATTTAGCCACGTCTCCCTGATTTGAGTCAGAAAAGTGTGTGATCCGAATCACAACACTTCTTGACTCGAATCAAGGTTATTTGATTTGAATCATGGAAATCCAAAATATTCTTCAAAGTGAACTATGATTCTAATCATGTTTTGTGTGACTCGAATCATAGACCCAATACATGTTTCAAATGAAAAACAACAAATTATTTATGTTACTACCCTTAATTCAAATCATATTTTTTTAATTCAAATCATAACCTCGTAATTTGACTCAAACCATCTTGTATTTTATCCCATCTTTTTGTGCCTTATCTTTAGCACCTACTTAAACATTTTTTTTTAAAGAATAGACAGAGTCAGATAGAGTCTTTTGAGTTTTTGGAAATTTATCTTGGTAAGTTGTTGAAAAATCTAAGACATTCACCAAGAACAAATATTTTATTTGTCAAGAATCTTGAGAGAAAGCATACAAGTTTCTTTATTCACAAACACACTATCTCCTTGACTCAATTTTGTGAAAAACTTCCTATAATGTTGAGATTGTGAGACTTTGTAGTTGTGTTGTGTGGGATCCTTTCTATACTACTCATCATATTCAATCTTATTCCAAGACACATTGTTGAAGTGTTCAACTCTAAAGATTGAGTGTGAGAGGTAGATTCAAGGTACATTAGAGAATCTAATATTTTTTGTGAAGTTTTGTTATGTGTATCAGGAGAACTTCTTGGAAGACTTAGGTGGATCTAAGCAAAGATTGTCACAGAACAAATGTTGAGAGTTGTCCAATTATTCTTGGTTAAAACAATCACTCAAAGAAGTTGTTATCAAATCTGAGTAAAGGTTATTGTAGAATTGAAATTTGGAGCATGATTATTATGTCTAGAAAGATTGTTGGATCAAGATCATTGAAGATCTTAAGCATTAGCAGTTGAGTAATCTGCATCAACAGAAGTGAATATCATTTTAGATATGTGTTGGCTAAAGTACTGGATTCTTAGTGTTCAGCTTGATGATAATCCATTGTACCAAAATACGTGTATCTTAACTTTAACAAAATAGTGGAAGACATTACCATTTCCAATAGTGAAAACTATTGAAGAATGAAATAGATATAACAAGGACCAATTGTCAAACTAATATACATTCAATGAATATTTTTCTTTCTCTATCTCTTTTAATTCTCTGTAGAACATCAATTATGTTAAATATTATTCATTCTTAGAACGTCATCTTGAATTAGATTTTTTTAGTGTTTTATCATATACGTTTAGGTTTGTGATGCATTTAGTCCATTGAACATTCTTTACTTTAATTTAGATTATATTATCCCTAATTTGTTGGATTTAAATTGCTTGGTATAAGAACTTCATTTATATTTGTTGTTCCTAATACTGTTTGAATCGTTCCTCTTATAAAGACAATGAAACATATATTTTTCTGAATTCACCGGCTACATTTTGCTTCTGCACGTCTTGTTTTGCTTCCGCGCTTTAAAATCTAATTTTGTAAAAGAAAATGTTTTCGAAATTGACTTAAGAGAACCAGTTTATTCAACCCCCTTCTCGACTTCGACCGTTTTATTTCCTTATTCTCATTCAACCGATTATCCCCGACAATGATGTCAAAAACTTGATGAATAATTTGACAACTATGATAAATCATCATCAAACAATATATTAAAAGTTAATATGCATATGGATTGCTCAGTTACAACTCAACAATACTATCATATTACAGATGTTAAATTAGGGAATTTTCATCGAACATTAATTTCTATATCACAATTGAATAACTCAATATGTCTAAAGCAATTATTTATTGAAAACCGTTAAATTAGATGGAACTTGAAAAGTTATTGTTAATAATCAATCTCAGTTTAAAATCAATTCATACCTTGGCCGACATATAAAATCTTAAATAGTAATCAATAGATATAATTGTTGCAACTACCACTTTTTGTTACTTTTATCCAAATTTAGAAAATGCTAAATTAAATGTTAATACTCAAAATTTTTGACAGAATCATGTTTCTATAATCAAACACAAATAGAAACTCACATACATATTCACCTTGTTGGATAAATAAGCATAAGCAGAAAGGCTGTGAGTATGAAAGCACAGAAGCATCAAGTATGAAGTGAAGCCAAATATTTTCAACAGCATAATCCGATTGGGTTATAAGTGTTAAATTAAGCAGTTTTGAGAAAGAATACAATTAAAAATTCCATTAGAAACATATCTGGCTTCATCTCCTTCCCCTTTTTCGTTTCTTTAATTTCCATTGTTTCAATAAAAGTTTCACTCCTTCTCGCAAAGTTGCTTTCTTTCCCTCTGCATAATTCCATAACTCGGAGGTTACATACCGCCCACTCGGATTATATTCATTTATCTCTTTCAAAGCTGCCACCACAGCTCCGTGGACTTGTTCTCCCATCTCGTTCTTGAGTTCTTTCAGCTTTTCATCTTCATCGTCTATAACTTCCTGAAATTAAATGACTTAAACATGTAAGCCGATTCTAGGAGATCTATAAGCTCGAGAAAGGCACACACCTGATGTTTCCCTTGAATTGTAAAAATTTTAAATGGATGCCAGTCAGGGTCCTTCATATACTCTTCCCATAAGGAACACATTTCAGAAGCTCTATCTTCTGCATCATCCACATTAAATTTCTTCTTCATAGCTTCTAAAAATGGTCTATCATCAAGCTCCCCCATTCTCTTCACGCCAATATCACCAGGACTCGGCATCTCTTTAATGGTCTGCAATAATGAGAGAAAATTTCAAAGCATAAAATCCATGGACTAGTATACAAAACATATGTTAGAAAAATTACAGTAATCAATTCCTTTCGAGCTTCCTGCACTTCATCATTGCTTTTACGCTCTTTAGCGATCAGTTTTTGGTTTAATGCGTCCATGTCTCGAAGCGACCGTTCCTTTTCTCTTAAATCTCTGTGTAAAGCATACATCTTATCCAGAACATCAAACTCTCCATCATTTTCCATGTGCTTCATCACTTTTAATTTTCCTTTTAGTACCTCAATCTCCAATTCCAGTTTTTGTTTCCCATTTATTTGTTTTTCAAGCTGGATGATTTTTGCATGGAGTTGTTCTTTTTGCCGCTGGATAAATATATCATTAAATTAATCCCGACATTTCATTAACAAAGCATAAAACAAGTTACACAAACCTTTTGATCTGCAGCAAGTTTCAAAACATTTTCACTAGCTTTCTGTTGCTCCAGAGCAGCCATTTCAAGAAACCCATTTTTCCTTGAAGTCTAAAAAGGCAACAGAAGTAAGCATGTAGCTAAACAAAACATTCAACAAGATTCTTAGTCACTCACTGTTAAACTCTATTTAAAAGAGATTAAACAAAAAATTAAAAAAGCACCACACCTCATTAATCTCTTGTTCCAACCTTTTTCTTTCACTTTCATTATTTTCCTCACGTATTTCCAGTACAATTCTTCGCAACTCAAGTTCTCTTTTCTGAGATTCTTGTTGCAACTTTAGTAGTTCATGACCATTCAAAACACTCTGAAAGTATTGACTTGCACTTGACTGTATTTTCTTCTTCTCTGAATACAAGCAAAGCAATGACAACATAAAACAACGCCATTTGAGTAATTCAACGTTCAAATTCGAGAAAAATTAGCGTACCTTCACAATGAGATTGAGAGAGTCTGTCTATTTCGCCTATTACAGCGTCCATGCCAAGTGTAATTTCGTCACATTCTACTTCCATTTCTTTTATCTTGTTTTTCTTTACACGGAGAATGTCATTCATACTAGACACGAGTTTATTGAACATTCTTTCATCGCGTTCCATGATTTCAGGTATTGTTTTAACATCCATCTTCTGTAGTTGTTCCCCGATTGCATTGTGCAATTGATAGTCATCAGCTCGGGCTATCCACGTGTATAGACCAGATTTTTGTTCGGAATGAGAAAGCCAATCCTTTTTCCCGTGATGATCTAATTCATACGCCCTTTCAAATGCCAATGCGTTATATAACCCTAACCAACTTTTATCGAATTCCACGACTGCAGCTCCGGTGTGATCCGAGGAATTCCAGAGTGGGCAGACTCTACTAGGATTAAAGCCCCTGGTTCGATACTCATCCCTTAGCTTAGTACCACTTTCACCAACACATCGCCCATGTTTTGTCATTCTCGTGGGAACGTTAACCACAATTCCAGTCCACGGCCACACAAACTGCTTTTCAGAATCGACAAGAATGCCTCCATTTGCTGGTTTTGTTGGATTCTTTTGAATAATTGCTTCCTTAACAGGAGAATCACCTTCACTCACAATTATATCATTTTTCAAATATTTCATTAAAGCCAGATGAGTTGCCTTCTTTTTGAGACTGGTCTTTTGCGAACTACTCTGACCCACCCCAGAAGCATGTTCAAAGAGTTCCCTGTACACATAGCCCGATCTTTTCAATTTCGGGCAGTATGGACAAGCGAATGTCTCATCTGAGATTCTCACTTTCAGACTTCCCTGCTTGAGTTCTTCATAGAATTTATCTACATACAACCAACTTATTCCAGATTCCTTGTTAGAGCATTGAGGCGCGACCGCCACAGTTTCTGCATATTCAACATGATCACCATCACCTTTATAGACGGGTTTTGACAGTCCATGCAGGCTCACAATATCCTTTTCCAAATATTTCAACAAAGCGAGATGACTAGCCCTCTCTCTGGCACTTGTGTTTTTGGGACTAGTCCGATCCACCACAAAAGCGTGTTCTAGGAGTTCCCTGTATGAACTATCCTGTTTTCTCTGAGGGCAGTAGGGACAGATGAAAGTACTCTCTGAGGTTTTCACATTCTGAGTTCCATTTTTGAGCTCTTGATAAGCTGTATCTACATACAACCAACTTATATCGGCATCCTTGACAGAACTCTGAGACATTACAACACGTTGGAATCTTAAGATTGAAGAGATTGGAAGGGGTGTGCGTGAGAGAAAATTGAAAATGAAGAGGAAGAATGAAAGAGGAAATTTAGGATAGTAGTTATGGAATTTGGTAAGAACAAACAACATTACACACGTTGGATGTGTTGCCTCATATGTTCCAACACTTCCAACAAAACTAGTACTTCATTGTACTTCTGAATAACAAACTTGTCGCATTGTAAATGAATGGTTAATTTCCATTTTGGAAAAGGCATTTGCAGTGAAATTCATTTTGATTTATAGAATTGGTTATCAATTTTAGAATGGATTGTTTTTTTAAGATAAAATCTGTAACATTTTGAGTTTAAATATGATTTTTACATTGAATTTTTTTTTATTTAACTCACTTTTACATAAATATACTCAAAAATAAATTATTTCGGCTTCAGTATATTTTAATCAAAACCAAGGACACTGTATTCAGTGTGATAATTAAATCGATGAGTTTGATTCATGAATCAAATGATCATATATGTTCAAGATGATATTGAGCACAATGTAAAAATTCATTATTTAACAGTATACATTGACATATCAAAGCTTCTAACTTCCTCTCAACTTCAAATAACAGACAATGTTCACAAACAAAATTTAAAAAAGGGAATTAACATTTGCTGTTAAGCATCTGAACAAAGTATAGCATGAATTTAGACATTACAGTAATACATAAAGACCAATCATGAAGGTAATAACAGTAAGCATGAATTTAGGCTTTTGATCTTTGCACCACAGTTCCACGAATTGTAGGTTTCAAAATCGATGATTGCCCTGCATGACTCGTGAATTTGTAGTAGAATCACAACAACGTAATGATCCTTCTGATAATTGTTCATTTTGTATCTCTTTTTAATGAATGAGGGAGAAGGAGGTGATATTAATATTCTTTTTTCAGGTTTTTGTTTGTAAAGAATGGAGTAATACGAACTACGAAGGAAGGAAAAACTGTGTTTGTTTGAATTTCTTTTCTTTTATCTAGTGCTCCAACCCGCTCATACCTACTTGTAGCAAACCGACATGTTCGCCTCCATGTAAAAGTTCACAAAAAAAATAGGACGAAACGGAGTACGTATAATTGGAAGTGCGAGTATAAATTCTTAATTTGTCTCGCAAAAAAGTTAGGACCGGACATACTAAGCCCGCGGGCACAATACTTTTTAGTCTAAAATTGGTAAAATTTATGTTAATGTTCGTGCCTGCAAAAATCCGCATAAAAAACTGGTAGAATAATAATGCAAGTGTGAGTAAGTGGGAAAATAGTCTCACATTGGATAGAAATGTGGTGACTTAAACATATATAAGTGGCAGAACCTACTCACCTAAGAAAAGTGGTGTGTCTCTCAAAAAGGTATATATTCTTCAACTTTGTATCAATACTCCTAGTAACTCCCCCAACAAATAGTATCATGAGCCTTTGGTTCGAGAAAGGGACTGACTTAGTACAAAGGTGCCTAGTCCTACACTATGTATCAATGCTCCCACAAAAATGGTACGAGACAAACACATTAGAGGGTGAGGACTTAAACCCTTGAGACACCCCGCACTAAAGTACGAACATGCTCAACAGGCCCAAAGAGGAATTAACTTGCCAATTCAACCAGGTACCCCACATATTTTCATAATTTTCAAATTGCTGATGGACAACTTTGAGTTAAAAAGTGCAAACAAAATTTTTGATAGTTCATTAAAAGTTTTCGGTAACAAACCAAAATTTTGGTAATTCATTTCTAAATTGCCGATATGATTTTATCAAAGTTTTCAGTAAAAATATACATTTCGAAATTTTTGGTAAAAAATACAAGAGTTTTTACTGGAAATTTTGAAAAATTTGCCGGAAATTTCCAATAAAAACTCATAGATTTCAAAATTTATGGTAAAAAATTTCAAGAGTTTTTATCGAAAATTTCTGGTAAAAACTCATGAAAGTAATGATTTTTATCTGAAATTTCGAATCCAATATTAATAGAATAACGAGTATATAGGTTAAGTTTGTTGAAATGTAATCCAAATTCAAGTCAATTTAGTTTAAGTTTCTTTTGCATTTAAGTTTCATTTAGTTTGCATTTAAGTTGCATTTGAAATTCGTATTTGTATATAAATTGATTCTTAAGTTTGTTAATATAACAATTGAATAGAGAAAAAGTTAGCTACAAAAGTTTATTACATCTCTCTCTCTCTCTCTCTATGATTTATTTCATCTTCATCTTCAATCTTTTGCTTCGATGGAGGTGTAACTCCAACAATTGGTATTCAGAGCTCCAGTTTGATTCGCATGGAAACATGAGTGTACGTGAGGTGGGTAATTGATTTCGTTCTAAAAAATTCACACTGAGTTGAAGATCAAAATCAAAGAGAATCACATTTCTTGATTCTCAAGGATTGGGAAACACGAGTGTTGGTGAGAATTGAGCGATTTGCACAAGAACGAAGATGAATGGCAGAAATGGTAGCTTGAATACAAAGCTTCCATTATTCGACAAAAAGAATTGAAATCAATGGTCGATTCAGACGCGTGCATTGTTTGGCGCTTAATATGTTCTTGATCTTGTCAATGACTATTACACGCCTGTTACAGAAGACGCAACAGAAACGCAAATAAATGTGCAACATGATACGAGGACGAAGGATCATAAGACATTGTTCTATATCCATCAATATGGGGATACAAGGTGTTTGAGAAGAGTGTCGATGCAATGACGGCGAAGGCGGTGTGGGATACACTTGTGTGGTATTATGGTGGCGACACATCAGTGAAGAAAGTAAAGTTGTCGTCCCTACGCAAGAAATATGAGAATCTTAGCATGAAGAACAATGAGAAGATGCCTGATTACATCTCCAGAGTGATTGTGGTTATGAACGAGATGAAGCCTTGTGGATAAACACTCTTTGGACAAGTGATAATTGAAAAGGTACTAAGATCTCTTACTCCTCGGTTTGATTACATAGTTGTAGCCATAAAACACTCGAGAGACACTAGCACCATGAGAATTGAAGAACTTCGAAGTTGTTTAGAGGCATTAGAATTGTGTATGACTGAAAGAAACTCTGAAAGGTAAACAAAAAAGGCTCTGTAAGCTTCTTTTGTCAAGAAGAATAAGAAGCAAACATGACTATAGAGCAAGAAAAAGAATGGTGGTGATGCTCAGAAGTTAGAACTCTCCAATCCAAATGAGAAGAAACATAAGAATGTTCAAAAGGAAAAAGAGTAGTTTGATAAGAGAAAGTTTTGGTGCTACAAATCTAACAGGTTTGGCTATTTTGCTGTTGATTACCGGTCAAACAAAGAAAGAAAGGGTGAAGATGCGAACATAACCAGAGGAGATTTTGAGGATGAACTTGTGTTGTTTATGGAATCTGAGAATGAAGGTGGAAAAATGGTGGAATGGTGGTATATGGAAATTGGTTGCTTAAACCACCTAACTAGAAACAAACAATATTTGGTTGATTTTGACTCTGGTACAAAGACCAAAATCAGATGTGTTGATGATAAGTGCCTAAACGCTGAAGGAATGGAAAATGTCAAAGTAAAATTGAAGAATGGAAAAACTGTATTGATTAAGGATGTATGATATGTTCCTGGCATGAAAAGCAATCTGATGAGTTAGGTCAGCTGCTTGAAAAAGGATTTTAGTAACTATGAAGGACAATCTCTTGAAGTTGTATGACTGTAGTCATAAGCTAGTTATGCAGTCTGAACTAGGAAGAAGCGGGACATTCAAGGTGAATGTCGAGAAAACAAACACTCAATGCCTTTATGCTACAAGAGTTGAATAGGAAAGTGAGCTATGGCACAAGAGATTGGGACATCAGAACTTCAGAAGCTTAGGGAATCTGAGTTCAAAGAATATGGTACATAGAATTCCAAAGATTCTGGCACCAAAGAAATCGTGTGATATATGCATGATAGGAAAATAACCAAGATTTCCATTCTCATCATAAATGCCTGTAAGAGCAACTCATACTTTGAGTGTGGTGCATTTTGACGTATATGGGTCATTTTCAGAACCTTCACTTGAAGGGAACAAGTACTTAGTGTCATTTGTTGATGAGTTCACAAGAATGACATGGGTAACACTACTAAAGTTCAAACATGAGGTGTTTGCTGAGTTCAAGAAGTTCAAAGTGAAGGCTAAAAACCAGAGTGGACAAAGGTTGAAGATCCTCCTAACCGGTAGTGGAGGTGAGTTCAACTCTGCAGAGCTCGAGAAGTTTTGTAAGGAGAATGGTATGAGCATGAGGTGATTGCTCCATACACTCCATATCACAATGGACTTGTTGAGATAAGGAATAAAACTCTGCTTGACATGAAAATAAGCATGTTGAAAGAAAAGAATCTACCTCACACATTTTGGGGTGAAGTTATTACCACATCAACATATATACACAACAAATGTCCACGAAGAATTTAAAGGAAGTAGTTCCTATTTAAAAGTGGACATGAAGAAAGCAAAGTTTGAGAAGGTGTTTGGTTTTGTTTATTACAAACATGTTCCAAATGCTACTAGAAGGAATTTGGATGACAGAAGCAAAGTCATATTGCTTATAGATTACCACTATCCAAGTACTTATAAGCTCTATTGCCACAATCACTAACAGATTCATTGTCAGCATGGATGTCATAGTGAAAGAATAAGAGACATGGGATTGGAACAAGTCTAAATCCAACTGTAGTGTAGTGTCAACACTAGAGTCTGACTCTGCCTCTGAAGGTGATTTGGATTCTGAAGGAGAATCAGCCTCTGAAGGAGATTTTGCCTCTAAAAGAAACTCCGACTCTAAATAGGAGTCTGACTCTCAAGGCGAGTCTGTCTATGAAGGTGAGTATGACTCTGAAGGTGATTTTGACTCTGAAGGTGATTATGAGTCTGGAGGTGATCATGATTCTGAAGGTGATCCTACCTCTGAAGGTGGCCCAATCTTAAAAGGTAATCCAATCTCTAATGGAAATCCTTCGTCTA